TGATTGATAAAACCGATTAAAACCAGTTGGGAAAATATTAATTTCAGACGTAAGATAACATGCAACAATAAATGAGGAAGTTTATCTTATTCCAATTAAGGGTCCCGAAAGGCATGAACATATTACATGACAGTAACATTTATAATTTTAGATTAAAAAAAATAACATTCAATAAGTATATTGTTTTCATATATGTTCATAGCATAGTGTTTGTATTATCAAGGTTCAGAATAATTTGTTTGTTTAGTACTTTTAAATGAAGTATTTGTCAATAGAAGATTGAAGTGTTATTGATAACAAAATGTTTTAAACAGTTTTAAAACATCTTCAAACACAAAGGGTCGTCAAAATGCTTCATATTTTAGAAAAAGGTTCAAACCAAATGTAAGAACTTTCATACATGACAGCCTTCCCTTCCATGTATTGCTATTTTCAAGCTACATGTGGGTTAATTCCAACAGGTGAAGGCAGTTTATATGTAGTCCTACCATATTATCATTTTTATAATGTTTTTTATTCAAAATTAAAAACAAAATAACACAAAAACAAAAACAATCACATCTTTTAAATTATTATGACTGTTAGTATTCTGCCGTTCATTCGTCTCTTAAGACAATAACTGAACGTTATATATACAATATACATAAAATTATATGTTTTTGCAAAAAAGGGACGAAAGATACCAGAGGGACAGTCAAACTCACAGATCGAAAACAAACTGACAACGCCATGGCCAAAAATAAAAAGACAAACAGACAAATAATAGTACAGATGACACAACATAGCAAACTAAAGACTAAGCAACACGAACCCCACCAAAAACTGGGGGTAATCTCAGGTGCTCCGGAAGGGTAAGCAGATCCTGCTCCACATGTGGCACCCGTCGTGTTGCTTATGTTATTACAAATCCGGTAAATAGTCTAATTTGCAATTTATTAAAGTTAATTTATGAGTTTAATTGCGTAGGAAAAGATGAAAACAGTGTTCAGTTAATGTCTTTGTTATATTTATTCATAACGTTTCTAGACGTCTGCTATAAAACTTCAAACGCGTACTCGTTTGTGGATGAAGTCCGTATGTTTGCATTTAATCTTAATTTTGTGTCAAACGAAATTCTGTCTTATCGACATACACCGAATATTTTCATTTATTGATACATATTTTGTTTCTATAACATATTTTACCATAAGAAAGTACGTCCACAAGAAAAAACCCTCATCCGGAACGAAACTGAAACGTATTCTGTAATTTCCTGTGCTTTTCTACGTATCTAATCAACTTATGCAGGCATTACAAATAATTGTGAAAAACGCATATTTGCAGGCAATATAAACAATAACTACAAAGGCCACAATTTTTAAAAATAATTGCTTAAATGGACCAGAACTCGCACATACACGTAGACGCAGTGGATATCATGATTGTGCACAATCTATATTTGCTCAGGTAAATATAGGTATGCTAGTGAAAGCAGTGAAACCTTTGTTTAACATATCATTTATGGTGTAGTATATCTTGCTATTATAATTTCAGTAGGTAAGACTGCATGAAATTAAGTTAACAATTTGCTATATCAATAGGACAGACTTAATTCGACATTTAAAATGGAAAAAAAGGATAGTGTGTATAAATTGATGCCACAAAAACACTACGTGCGCATAAGCAGGCAAAGCAAAACTAATGATCATAGCTATCATTGCTGTTGTTAATATCAAAGCGCAAGTGATGACTTCAACATGAAGCAAAAACGTTCACTTCACTGAATTTCAAGACGGCCCTAAACATTGGTTTGATGGGAATTCAAATTCAGAGTGGAAAATTCCACAAACAGGAGAAAATGAAAACCATCGATTAAGGTAGATACTAGTATATTAATTGATTTATTGTTGGTATTAAACGCCATTATCGGAACTCTTGGCTATGTCAAGGTGTTGATAAATGGAGAAAGCCTAAGTACTCAGAGAGAACAACCAACTTTCGGCAGAAAAACTTGCCTATTTAGTCAATAAAGATCGGAGTCGAACGTTCCTGCCTCGAGCGGGGTTCGAAATCACAAGCTCAGTGTTGACAGGCTATTGATCAATGTAGATGAACTTCATAGATCATTTAGGCACCGAGGCTCCTCAAAATATAGGTTGCGATATATAAAGATCATGACAAACATGACAAAAAGCCATCCTGAACATGCATGATATATTTGCCACTGGACGTTAAACAAAAACAATCAATTATGAAAAAAAGTGAGCTTACAAGTTGTTTGGACAGTATGATACTGCAGCGAACAGCTTACCAACTATCTCATTTTGTCGACGGAAGACCTTGTATATAAGAATTTCACTCATTTATGCATACTAGAGGTCCACACATATCCTTACACATTTTATGGCTAATTTCTTGAAAGCAATCGAACTGAATAATATTCCTCTCCCAATAACTAGTTTTGTGTGAAGTTGGAACCAGTGTTTTTTAAAATTCAATTCATATGGTCATTTGTACTTAAATGCGTAATAATAGCTTCATTTATAGATGGCTACGTACATGTTTCATTCACTTGTGTACTATAGGTTGCACTTCTGTAAATAAAGACAATGTAATTTCCAATAGGAACTCCCTTTGCGGCTAAAGCTGTTACTATGACGTTTCATGAAAAATTATATCATAGAGTTGATATGCACTACTTTTTCAACTCAAAGGTCAAAACATAGGGGTGTGCGGCATATTTTCAACATTTATATGCCCCGAATTTCTATGAGTTCAAACTTATACTAAAATTCTGTACTACACCTACTTTCAATTTGAGTCTCCCTCAGAATTCAATTTTCGCCGCTAATGTGTTTTTATACTGGTAACATTTCCAAGTTATTTCTCTATGAGATGAAACATAGAGATCATATCTTGGAACCAGTACGTAAACAAAACAACATATCTATGAATATTACATATCTCCCCAAAATAGGCGTGGCTTGTGAAACAGCTGTATTTACAAAGCGCAACCTTTAGAAGCGACGTTCTATAATGGTTCTGTAAATTCACACAAAATGGGCCATTTAATTTTCATTTTTTGTTGTTGCATTAACAATTTCCTTAACGAGCCATGTGAAATAAACAATCTTCGACTTAACAGACATATGTGTTGTCTTTGAACCATGATGTTTATATGTGGATAGTGTAGCAGGTATCTAAGGTGACGTTTATTTGATTTCTGGAGGAGGGCGGGAATAGGACGATTTTTATGGATAAAATAAACTGTATCGTCTGTTTCTGTAAAGTCTAATTCATTTATTGTGGCACAGGGACATGAACTTTTTGTTATTTAATTCACACCTACACTCAATGTTTAACATGATTCGCCGATTATTTATGGCATTAGAAACCTACAAAATTTTGACAAAATCCAGTCCAGAGTTCTTACACAATATATTAAGTTCTTCAGAAAACTGCTTCTATGGCTCATGTAGACAATAACTTTGCTGTCTCACAGCTGAAATCTTCTGGCCCTGTGTTCTGTTTATTGTTTGCTTTTGTTTTATCTATTTGCTTAGCTTTTGTCTTTGTGACGGTTAAAGCAAAATTTGCTTTTCTTTTCTTTTAACCTTGCTTGTTTTGATTTATGCGTGTTTGCTTAGCTATTAATTTAAATTATGCATGTGTTTTTATTTGTATGTGTAGTCTGTCAAATTTGCTTATGATTTGTTATTTGTTTTTAAATATCAAGTCGGTTAAGAGCTCTACAGAGCTCATGTTTACCTTGTTGAATTGTATATATCATGCCCGACTCTAAATAAAATTTATTTACTTACTTACTTACTATTTATCATACGAAACCTGCACCGATGTCATAACTAATTGTAAATAGATAAACCTGGGCTTTTAAGTCTGATATGTCACAGTGTCCAATGCACATATGACACAGCAAATTTTGTCGCTTCAAACAAGATAGGCTAATAAAAATCATCAAATATCTCATTATAGGCCTATTATATATATAGTCAGAAGCCTGTTGTTCAGTGGTTGTCGTTTGTTGGTGTGGTTTATATGTGTTTCTTATTTCTCGTTTTTTAAATAGATTAGACCGTAGTTTTCCTGTTTGAATTGTTTTACACTAGTAATTTTGGGGCCCTTTATATCTGGCTGTTCGGTGTGAGCCAAGGCCGTACTTTGACCTATCATTGTTTACTTTTTACACGTTGAGACTTGGATGGAGAGTTGTCTCATTGGCACTCATACCACATCTTCTTATTTCTATTTAGTGAACTAATAGTATTGCACTGAATGCACAGATACAAGAGGTATTTTCAGGACCAAGTTTGCCTAATCTTATCTGTACAGTAAATAATAGAATACTCATGCAATGCATCATGATATTCTACAAAGTTAAAGCTTGCATTCGATTTCTGACTGTTTGAGCTAAAGTTAAGTAATGTTGCCTAACATAGGTTGTGCAACTATTCATTAAAAATAGCACATTGCAAGGAAAAAAAATGTTTCACCTAAAATTTTATAATTTTATAGTTTTCTATGAAAATTGGTTGTAAAGTATGGGGACGGTATTTCATGTGTGACAAGGGGGCGGATATTGATTTGGTCCAAAGTGATATACTAGACCCGTTCGAAGCGACAACATTTGCTGTCCCCGCATGATGCCAGTGAATATGCAACACCACAATTCTATCCATCTTACTCGTGATTTTTGTGAATATTTGAACAATGTATGCAGTTTTTTAGCGTCAACCCATAAATGATCGAATCATGTTGTATTGATTAATCTCTAGTTTAATTATTTTCACTAGACAGGAGGTTTCTTCGAGACCAGAAAACTATTTTGTTGCACCCTATCTCAAGCTGTATCATTTTGTCTCGTTCATATATGAATGTTCGTGTTTTGCTATGTTAAAACTAAAATTTGCATAGAATATAATTTATTAACTTACCAAGTGTGTGTGTGATATACAATGAATTGTCACAGGAATGGTTGACCATGGAAAAAGATACAAAACTCATTATAGTAGGAATGTAAACAGTAAATTAAGATTTATTTGTAAAAGTATACGTTGGCAGTTGCTGTACATCTTATTTATCTTCGTCTGGAGCATTAGACAACTCGAGCTGAAACAGAAGGTTGGAGTAGAGAAGATATCATCAAAATATTAAAATACATAAATATACGTTGATTGGGAATAGAAGGGTAAGATGCATAGAGGAAATACATATGGCAAAAACAATTTCGAGAAAACTTACGAACAAACCATTTGATTAACGTCAACTATAGATGGCAAATCAATTTCAGTGCATGTGACATGCAAACATAAATTGAAAGGCTCTTTCTTATTTACTTTTACTTCTAACATATCTTGTGTAATATAATCATTATAATCAAAAGAATTAATTTTAATTTATTTCAAAGTTGTGAGTGTGCCTCTTTTTTTTATTGTCTATCTATATATACCCTAGATAAAAAAAGTCATATGTTTTATAGACCATAACTCAATTTAAATAATTAACAGACGAAAAACCCGAAGTACGCAATCTATGATTATTTCATTCAAACCTAAATATATTTCGCAACAAAAGAAAAAGTCATTATATATTTTTCTAATTCTTAGCCGATTTATACTTTTAAATCTAAAATGATTTAAAAATTTAACTGTCTCGAGTAATTTTAAATATTTAAACGCTCGGCCAGCCTTGCGTTTTAAATTTGAAAATTTATCTGTCTCGGGTGGAGAAATATCGTATCAAACTCGCCGCAGCGGTAGAATCTATATTTATATAAAAATGAGAATGAAAACGGGGAATGTGTTAAAGAGACAACCCGACCAAAGAGTAGAAAACAGCCGAAGGCCACCAATGGGTCTTAAACACAGCGAGAAAATCCCGAACCCTGAGGCGGGTTTCAGCTAGCCCCTTAACAATAGTGTAAAGTAGTTCAGCAAAATTGGACATCACACTTAACTCCGAATAATAGAAATGAACCAACATTTTAAAAAACATCAAGACTAACAAAGGCCAGATATATGGATATATACATATATATAAACAAGTCTAACTTGAATAAAAAAGCCAAACCTATGATCGCGTTAGATAAAGACCGCAATTTTTATACGTGTGCATGCAAAACAAATTTCTTAGTATAGGGGTCTAAATACAGCACAAACTACATGTATATAAATATATATTGACCAAACATGAGGAAATTCTTAACGTTCTATATTATCGTTGGCCGTTTAAAGACTAACGACAGTCCACAAAACACTACACAGAAAAATAAAGAACAAGACTGATCCAATCCTAATACTGAGGAGGAAAACAGGTGCTATAAAAGGGTAAACAGTTTCTAACACTTTAACTTTTAGTAAAAAACTTACGTCTTTTATTGCATTTACATTTCTCACATCCATCAGCACCAACTTTGAATCCATATTTACAGTATTTATTGCAAACCACACCGGAACAATGGGCTGTAATATTAAAGCATATATTTCAGTGTTTTTTACAACGCTACATCAATTAGTACTTTTTGCATTTAATATATTCCTTTTTGTCTAGGGATCATTAACTTTTATTGTCGGGACCAGTAAACTAGACATGTAAAGAAGAGAACTTGAGTTTGAGAGAGTTTGATAAGATTGTGTTGAATTGTAGTATGAAGAGTCGAAAATATAACTTAACGGCACTGAAATGACGATTTATAACAGGCTTTTTGTTTATAACATCCAAAGAGGTAAAACACTAAATAATTCTCCCTCAGGTAAAGTTGACCTTAGATGAATTTTTTTATGTATTTTTGTCATATAGTTCTTTAACTGTTTCGGTACTTATACATCCTCAGATTTCAAATGATTGGCTTTGAGCGTTCCTCATGAAGGAAAATCCAGAAAAGCGCTTCGGACGCATGAAATTATTAAACGTGTTGTTTTCAATTTTTTTTCTAAGTTTTCCTATGATTTTATACAAAAATTAATGAGTTATTAATCCGTGGTCTTGGAATTAGTAAAAAAAAAAACACACACACAGTTTAGTCGAAGAACACTTAGTAGAAGCCGAGATTGAACGGTATTTGACAGTTGAATTGTTGTTAGACTAGGTCGAAAACGTCATACCATGATGTCAATTAAAAACGAAGTTTGAGTTTACCACACTTAACAAAACCAAAACACTTATGTATGATAAGAAATAATCAAGCTGATTGTATAGACTTACGTGGCTTGTTGCATTTACATATTTCGCATCCATCAGCACCAATTTCAAACCCATTTTCACAGTACATTTCACACATTGCATCGGAACAGTGAGCTGTAATATTAAAACATATATAATCGTTTGAGTTGTCTTAAACCTTTTTGTTATTTCTGGCAGTTAAAATATCTTGTTTTCACCGACAGCAGCATGCAGTTTTCAGTGAGAAAGAAGGTTCCCTGGAACCTTTTGCGACCACTTTATTTCTGACAGATTACATTGCACTTTGACATTGACAGCATTATGCAGTTGTAAGTGAGGCAGAAGTTGACCTCGAACCCTTTACGAATAGTCTATTTTTGACAGTTTACAATGCATTTTTAGAAGTGTACCGTTTGCATGGAACATAATATCTATTTTTGTTCTGCTCTGAATTCTCATCTTTTATGGCTAAAGCAATTCGTAAGTACTGCTTCAATTTTTGATTTTCCATGCTCATACAATGCTTATATAGATACATATCAATTTATTAGATGCAACAAGTGTCGCTACCATTTCAGTAAATGAGAAAACTATTCAATTAGATTATGTGGATACATTTGTATGTAGGATAAGAAAAACATAAATGTCAACGGAATTTAAAGTACTTTTAAAAGCATATAAATGCATCTTATGAAATATTTAAGCTGATTGTATAGACTTACGTGGCTTGTTGCATTTACATATCTCGCATCCATCAGCACCAATTTCAAACCCATGTTCACAATTCATAAAACACATTGCATCGGAACAATGGGCTGTAATTATAAAGCATAACTTCTGAGTTTGATATAGTAACATCGTAATAAATAGCACAGCTTTTCCATTTGAAAACATAATTACAGTTCATTTAATCATGAGCATCTCTACACGTAACGATAGGACTTATTCGTGGTCTTGGAATCAGTCACAAAGACATACAGCTTAGTCGAAGAACACTTAGTAGAAGCCGAGATGGAACGATATTTGACAGTTAAATTGTTGTTAGATTAGGTCAAAAGCGACATACAATGATGTCAAATAAAAAAGAAGTTTGAGTTTACCACACTTAACAAAAACCAAAACACTTATGTATGATAAGAAATAATAGAGCTGATTGTATTGACTTACGTGGCTTGTTGCATTTACATATTTCGCATCCATCAGCACCAATTTCAAACCCATTTTCACAGTACATTTCACACATGGCATCGGAACAGTGAGCTGTAATATCGAAACATATATAATCGTTTAAATTTTCTTCAACCTTTTTTTTCTGGCAGTTAACATATATTGTTTTCACCGACAGCAGCATGCAGTTGTAAGTGAGACAGAAGTTGCGCTGGAACCTTTTGCGAATGGTCTATTTTTGATAGTTTACAATGCATTTTTATAAGTGTACCGTTTGCATGTAACATAATATCCATTTTTGTTCTGCTCTAAATTCTCATCTGTTGTGGCTATAGCAATTCGTAAGTACTGCTTGAATTTTCGTTTTTCCGTGCTCATACAATGCTTATATAGATACATATCAATTTATTAGTTGCAACAAATGTCGGTACCATTTCAGTAAATGAGAAAACTTCTGTTCAATTAGATTATGTGGATAAATTTGTATGTAGGATAGAAAAGTCATAAATGTCAACGGAATTTAAAGTACTTCAGAAAGCATATAAATGTATCTTATGAAATATTTAAGCTGATTGTAAAGACTTACTTGGTTTTTTGCATTGACATATCTGGCACCCATCAGCACCAATTTCAAACCTATGTTCACAGTTCATATAACACATCGCATCAGCACAGTGGGCTGTAATTATAAAGCATAACTTCTGAATTTGATATAGTAACACCCAACTTTATGAAATACAGATCATGTTTCCAAGCTTCGCTTACAAGTATCTAACAACACTCCGTCCTACTTTCTGTTCTGATAAATTTTATATCAACCAATGACATGTCTGCCTTCAAATGTTTGAAGGTGTGTATAATTCAGAAAAAAACCTGAGGATCCCGAAAGGTCGTTTAAACAGAAAGTAGAAAGAAGCGTTTTCAGTTCTAGTAAGCAAAGCGTGGACAGTAGCTGCGTTGTAATCAGATTGAGCAACACCGTGATTATTGATACAATTTTTCCATTTGAATATTACTTTACATTTCATTTTATCATGCGAATTAATTAAAGTTCAAATTCAGTTACTACATTTAAACCTACAAAACACTTATATTGAATATGAAATAATTTATGAAATAATTTAGCTGATTGTATGACTTACATGGCTGGTTGCATTTACATATCTCGCATCCATCAGCACCAATTTGAAACCCATTTTCACAGTTCATCTAACACATCGCATCGGAACAATGGGCTGTTATTTTAAAAAATAATTCCTGAGTTTGATAAAGTAAAATCGTAATAAGTAAAACAGCTTTTCCGTTTGAAACAATAATTACAGTTTATTTGATCATGAGCATCTCTACACGCAACGATAGGTGTACGTTCACTGTATCAAACAATAAACAAAACGTTTATGTTGAATTTAAATAATGTAGCTGATTGAATAGACTTACGTGGCTGGTTGCATTCACATATCTCACATCCATCAGCACCAACTTTAAAACCGTGTTCACAGTACATAGTGCACATCACATCGGAGCAGTGGGCTATAATATAAAAGCATATATTTCTGATTTTTGTTACAATTCCATATCATTTTTAACCTTTTTCTTTTAAGGTATCCCTTTTTGTCAGTATCATCCCCTCTTATATTTCAATGACTGTGAGAGAACTGTTTTTTTTATCAATGACTGGCTAGAGCTCATGCAATACAGATGTTAATATGAATATAAGTTTAAAAACAAAAACATTTGTATATAGATCTTAAATCTGATGGACATTTTGATTAAAGAGGAGAACTCGACTTTGATTAGATTGTTTTGAAGTGTAGTATTGAGAGTCGAGAGTAATAAGAGAGTAACGGAAAGAATAACTAACAGGAGGTTATTTGTCTTTTACATCCAAAGAGGAAATAAGAAATCATTAATTCTATTTCTTCATATGGTTTTATACCAACTTTAATAAGTTCTTTATGAACTGTCTTGGAATTACCAAAATATAACCAGCATAAAACTTTAAGATAATTCGGAAATCACTCAGAGGAAGCCGAGATGAAACGATATTTTGCAGTTGTTTGGTAAGATTAGGTAGACAATCTTCAATCTATCATGCAGATAATGTCAACTAAAAACGAAATTTGAGGTAAAAAAAAAGGGACGAAAGATACCAGAGGGATAGTCAAACTCATAGATCGAAAACAAACTGACAACGCCATGGCCAAAAATAAAAAGACAAACAGACAAATAATAGTACAGATGACACAACATAGAAAACTTAAGACTAAGCAACACGAAACCCACCAAAAACTGTTGGTGATCTCATGTGTTCCGGAAGGGTAAGCAGATCCTGCTCCACATGCTCAACATACTTAACACAAAACAAACAACTTATGTTGAATATGTGAAATACTCTCAACGTAACTGAATATATTTTTCAAAGCATGTAAATTTATCTGAACATTAACGAGTTTTTAACATTCCATAAATAATGAGTTCCATATTATTTTCATTTGAATTTACACCAAAGTGTATGTTATTTAAACAAATGAAAAGGACTAAAAAATAAGTTGTAGAACACTTGTTGGAAGCCAAGATGAAACGGTATTTGACAGTTTTTTAGTAGTTCAGGTAGAAAAGCTTCGTTCTATCATGCTGATGAAGTTAATTAAAAATTAAGTTTGAGTTTATTATTCTAAACAAAACCAAAAATAATTATGTAGAATATGAAATAATTTAGGTGTCTATGATGAGTTTATTTAGCTAAAAGTATAGACTTACGAGGCTTGTTGCATTTACATATCTCGCAGCCATCATCACCAATTTCAAAGCCATGTTCACAGTTCATATAACACATCGCATTTGAACAATATGCTGTAATATTAAAGCATAACTTCTGAATTTCATATAGTACGTCCAACTTTATTAAATATAGATCATGTTTCCAAACTTCGCTTACGAGTATTTAACAACACTTCTTCCTACTTTCTGTTCTGATAAATTTTACATCAACTAATGACATCTCTGCCTTAAAACTTTTGAAAGTATGTATGAATAACAAAAATCCTGAGGATCCCGAAAGGTCGTTTAAACAGAAAATGGAATAGATCGTTTTCAGTTGTAGTAAGCTAAGCGTAGACAGATGGACTGCGTTTTAATCAGATTGAGTAACAACGTGATTATTGATTCAATTTTGCAATTTGAAAATTACTTTACATTTCATTTTATCATGCGAATCTTTTCAATTGAAGTTCAAATTCAGTTACTACATTTAAACCTACAAAACACTTATATTGAATATGAAATAATTTAGCGGATTGTATGGCTTACATGGCTGGTTGCATTTACATATCTCGCATCCATCAGCACCAATTTGAAACCCATTTTCACAGTTCATGTAACACATCGCATCGGAACAATGGGCTGTAATAACCAAGCATTTTTTTTTATATTAAAGCATATCAATTATTCAAGCATATTCAATTCGAAGGTATTCTTAATGAGATTTTATTAATTATCATTTAAAATATGAAATGAGTTGGCTACTTTAAAGATCATGAAGAAGGTAAATCCAGAAAAGCGGTTTAGATGCATGAGATTTATTAAGTGTTTTTATCATTTTTACAGCACCGAATCGATACCGCAGCTGGTGGAATATCAGTCCTTGAGGGTATTATCAGCTCAGTAACAATACTTTGGTAGTGACAAAAGGGGAATGTGCCAACGATACAACAAAACCGACCACAGAACAGAAAACAGCACAAGGCCACAAATAGGTCTTAAACGCAGCGAGAAAATCCCACACCCGGAGGCGGGCTTCATCTGGCTCCTGAACAATAATTATAAAAAAGAAGATGTGGTATGATTGCCAATAAGATAACTCCCCACAAGAGACCAAATGACACAAAACTTAACAACTATAGGTCACCGTACGGCCTTCAACAATGAGCAAAGCCCATACCGCACAGTCAGCTATAAAAGGCCCCAAAATGACAATGTAAAACAATTCAAACGAGAAAACTAACGGCCTAATTTATGTACAAAAAATGAACGAAAAACAAATATGTAACACATAAACAAACGACAACTACTGAATTACAGGCTCCTTATTTGGGACAGGCACATATACAGAATGTGGCGGGGTTAAACATGTTAGCGGGATCCCAACCCTCCCCTAACCTGGGACAGTGGTGTAACAGTACAACATAAGAACGAACTATAAAAATCAGTTGAAAGAGGCTTAACTCATCAGATGTATACTAGTTCAGTGAAATAGACGCAAAACCTAACACCAATTTGAAACCCATGTTTACAGTTCATATAACACATCGCATCCGAACAATAGGCTGTAATATATTAGCATACCTTCTTAGTTTTATTATTGATACAGCTTTTCTATTTGAAAAGTTTTTATAGTATTTGATCCTGCGAATAGTGACAATTAAAACGATTTTTTAGTTACTGCTTTCATTAATTTCAAAACACTTAATTTGAATATGAAATAATTCAGCTGCTTGTATAAACTTACGTGGTTTGTTGCATTCACATATCTCACATCCATCGGAACCAATTTGAAATCCATATTCACAGTACCTATTGCACACCACACCGGAACAATGGGCTGTAATGATAAACCATATATTTGGTTACAATGCTAAAGCAATTTGTACTTTTTGTGTTAATCGTATTCCTTTTATACATTTAAAGTTCTACTTAGTATGAAGTTGGATAAAATATAGTTATATAAAAAACTGAAAACAACACGTTTAATAATTTCATGCGTCCGAAGAGCTTTTCTGGATTTACCTTCATCAGGAACGCTCAAAGCCAAACATTTGAAATCCGAGGATGTATAAGTACAGAAACCGTTGAAGAGCTATATAACAAAAATACCTAAAACAAATAGCCAAATTCATCTAAGGTCAACTATGCCTGAGGAAGTTGAAACCTTAGTTTCTTTATAATTTCAAAATTTATTAACAGACAATTTTAGAAAGGTTTGTTATAAATCATGCAAGGCTAAACCTCCTTATCTTTTTATACTTTGTGTGACAATACCCATTAATGTTACAAGTCACAGCATAATCATTGAACCCAAGCGAAAGAGGATCAGAAATATTTTCTATCCTTTTTACGTATACTGTAATTCAAGTGCATTTGTGATCCAGAAATACTTCATCATTGAAATTGACAGTGAGATATTCTTGATATCCGAGAACATTGTAGTAAATTCTGAAGGTTTTCTTAAACAGCAAATATTGAATCAATAGATTGCCTATTGTTTAAAAAAGTTTGCCTCACCTCGGCATCTTTTTATTATTGTTTTTGTTAAAGTAATTTTATAAATGCGCCTCTTTATACGATAGATATCATTTTTAAATACAATACCAAATGAGCTTCAAAGATAATTCAATGTAATATCACACACCACAGTTTTCCTCTTCCGAACTGACACACAGAAATTCGCGGGAAATTCATAAAATCAAGCTCAATATCGGTTTGTATTTAGTTTTTCAAGAAAGTTAAATAATAAATAACAAAATAGACCAAACATTCTTTCTGATTTATATTTTACAAAATGTATTATTATTTTTTTTTAAATTAGTGTACAACCCTGTTGTCCAAAGATTAAAGAGTAAAGAGTAGGTCCAATTTCCCTGAAATTCGTTTCACAGCAGGGCCATTTTCATTTCGATTCGCAATGTGACACTGATGTGTGTAGTAGAAGGTTTTAACAATGATATGGCTACATCTAAACAGCTCACTTTATTTTAAACGCCCGAAGAAACCCCAAAACAACAATTTTGACAGATTTTGAATATTTACCCAAAAACTATATATGCACATCGTCCCAAACCAAATATATGTAGGAAAAAAAGATATGTACGTATTGTCGTTAGCCGTTAGGACGCAAAATAATTCATTTTGATAAGCAACATTCTTCAATGCAAAATTTGACAAAAACATGTAAAATTTTCAATTTTGTATCAAAATGACTTCAACTGCACCAAGTGCTGAAAAGCATATTGATTTAATGCAAATATATAAAATGTATAATAGTATTTGAATAGAGTTGACCTTTATGTGGATACTGTTGTGTTTTGTGTGTTCTCTATACGTCTTTTTGTTTTGTTTTATTTTTATAGTATTGCGTTTTAAAAATAAAACATGGATAAATTAGAAAAATATTCATTCAGGTCATAAACTGCAAGATTAATATAATATGTATATTTCTAGACGTACACAGGAAAGTCGGCTAATTAGATAAGAATATATGCAGATTCAATAATTTCAAAGTTATTCATAATTAAGTGCTGTCTAAAGAAAACCATGTTCTTTCTCTGGCTTTTATAGAGTACGATAGGAGACCTAACTTTTGCATGTTTTAACTAGAGGCTCCAAGGAGCCTGTGTCGCTCCCTGATATTTTTGTTAACAATTGATGCTAAAATAATGCAACCATTATACTTTTGCTTTAGTTTCAGAGATATAAGCCAAAAACTGCATTTTACCCATATGTTCTATTTTTAGCCATGTTGGTTGGCAGGCGGGGTAATCGGACACAGTTTTTAAACTAAATACCCTTATGATGATTGTGGCCAAGTTTGGTTAAATTTGTCTCAGTTGTTTCAGAGGAGAAGATTTTTGTAAAAGATTACAAAAATTTACGAAAAATTGTTAAAAATTGACTTTAAAGGGCAATAACTCCTGGAGAGGTCAATTGACAATTTTGGTCATGTTGACTTATTTGTAGATCTTATTTTTCTGAACATTATTGCTGTTTACAGTTTATCTCTATTTATAATGATATTCAAGATAAAAACCAAAAACTGCAAAATTTCCTTAAAATTACTAATTCAGGGGCAGCAACCCAACAACGGGTTGTCTGATTTGTCTGAAAATTAAAGGGCAGATAGATCTCAACCTGATCAACATTTTTACCTATTTGTCAGATTTGCTCTAAATGCTTTAGTTTCAGAGATATAACTATAAGCCAAAAACTGCATTTTACGCTTTGTTCTATTTTTAGCCATGTCGGCCATGTTGGTTGGCAGGCGGGGTAATCGAACACATTTTAAAACTAGATACCCTAATGATGATTGTGGCCAAGTTTGGTTAAATTTGTCTAAGTAGTTTTAGAGGAGAAGAGTTTTGTAAAAGATTACAAAAATTTACGAAAAATTGTTAAACATTGACTTTAAAGGGCAATAACTCCTTAAGGGGTCAATTAACAATTTTGGTCATGTTGACTTATTTGTAGATCTTACTTTGCTGAACATTATTGCTGTTTACAATTTATCTCTATCTATAATAATATTCAAGATAATAACCAAAAACTGCAAAATTTCCTTAAAATTACTAATTGAGGGACAGAAACCCAACAACAGGTTGTCTGATTCGTCTGAACATTTTAGGGCAGAGAGATCTCAACCTGGTGAACATTTTTTATCCAATCAGATTTACTCTAAATGCTTTAGTGTCAGAGATATAAGCCAAAAACTGCATTTTACCCATATGTTCTATTTTTAGCCATGGCGGCCATGTTGGTTGGCAAACGAGGTCGTCGAACACATTTTTTTAACTAGATACCTCAATAATGATTGTGACCAAGTTTGGTTAAATTTGGCTTAGTAGTTTCAGAGGAGAAGAATTTTGTAAAAGTTAACGACGACGGACGACGACGGACGCCAAGTGATGAGAAAAGCTCAATAGGCCTTTTAGGCCAGGTGAGCTAAAAAGTGGGAGAGGTATAATTCAAAGTTTTAAAGCATTGTTCTTAAAAATATCAGATGAACCATTTATCTGAAAATGCATTATGCATGCATAAGCCGTGAAGCAATAAAACATTTCTGAAACTTTGTGATCATTGTGCGTTCTGAGCTTTTGATAATTGTTCTTTATTATTCAATAAATTTCAAATAGATATAAGAAGATGTGGTATGACAACTCTCCCTCCAAATTATGATTTGTAAAAAGTAAACCATTACAGGTCAAAGTATATTCTGCTTTATTATACCTCAGTTATCATTTTCTATATAAAATAAGTACACAATATTTCTACTATTTTTCAAATTGCAAGCGTTGAACTATTTGACCGGTCAATAGTTTCCAACTATTGGACATCGGTGAAACTATTTGACCGCAAGCGTCATTATATTTCGCGGAATTTCAAATACAGCTACGGGATTGGATAATGTTGAGAATACCGCGGGAGCGTTTAACCTATTGTATATAGGGTTGGCGTCAGTGTGGGACGTAGCCTTAGCATTCAGAATATATATAAAGTAAACAAGAAACAGTATGGTTGTGTTTCTGCTTTTTATATTGCGGTTAGTTGATTTAGCCCCTTCATTTATTGTCTGTTGTCAATTTCGGTATAATAAAACACTTACTGACTGGATATTCGTGGAATAGTAAGTTTATTGTCCCCTCGGATACAACTATTGCCCTCGGCTACGCCTCACGGCAATAGTTCCACTCATACCCAGTCAATACGTATAAACTATTTAAATCTATTTTAAAATTTTGTACAAGTTAAAACCATTTTTAAGTAATATTTTGTACATGTTATAACAAGTACGAGGTACGTTTGTACATGTTATAACAAGTACGAGGTACGTTTGTACATGTTATATCTTGTATTTATGCATTGTACAAGTTATAACACGTACAATATTTCTGTACATGTTATAACATGTACAAAATCGCAATTTGTACATGACATATATACCAATATGAAATTGAGTGTATCTCTATTAATATAACTTTACTTACTTATTGGTGGTGATCTAGCCTAAAAAGGAAGACGAAAAATAGAAATTAGATTTTTTTACAACTACTTCCTTTCATGGGAATATGAGCAAATGTATAATCATACATGCTGAATACCTTATAAAAAATTAGAATTTGATTCGAAAAGCCAGTTTACATCTTGATATCACAACATAAACCATGTTGATATTAGTCCGTATAGTCGGGTGGAAAAATGCCAGAACTATTTGTCTGGCCAATGCAATATACATGTCTTGTAATATCTGATCTGAGTGTGCGCGTGTAATGGTTTCAGCAGGATCCGTGTGAAACCCAATCACTACATATCTAGATCGTGGGTGGCTAGTATTTACTATTGTTATTGAATATTCTAATTTTGCAGAACTTAACAGAAAAAAAATCGAGGATATTATTTACATCAATTGCAGACAAAAACTGAATTTTTGCTAGGGAACATCTCAAGAACAGTTGAATCCTAAAGAAAACGGACGCTTAATGAACAAGGATGTGATAATTTACCAAAATCCGATGAAGATGAGATATTAATATGGTGTTGTAGCCTTTAAACATTTTATTTTACAGAAAATCATATGCACTTTCCTGTTCCTGCCTTTCAAAAATATAGTTATGTCCACGATGTTTATAAGTTTTTAAAGAAGGCAATTCCCCAACACATATCTAAGACCACTGTCTGAAGCGTATTACTTTTCAAATTAATAATCACTTTCCCCCGTATTTTTTTTTAAGATACAAAATAAAAAAAAACGGCCATGTAATGGAGTTGTCTAAATATTGTACTTAAACATATTCCACAAGTTTACAAATATAAGTATAATCACAAATGTTAATCTGGGCTTTTTGTTGCTGTGGTGACAATGTTGATATAATATTTCAAATTTTACATCGAAAGAAACCAAAATTTTTTTTATTTGTATCTGTAGATAAAAAATACTTAGTTTTAATTTCGATAAAATTGTCGGTTCGCTTTAGATGTTTCCTTTGGGATCTGCCTTTTTTATCGTGTAGTAAAATTTTTTAAAGTTTTTTCAGCAATAAAAGGCCTTTCAAAATTGTTCGAAAAAGGAGGACTTACACATCATCGTTTTTTCTTTCCTAGAGAAAATTCATAATACTATTCAAACCTAGACAGATAAAACATAACAATATTAAAAAAAAAACATAGATTTTTTTTTCTCCGGATAGTAGAAAAAAAAACTACTACTATTGATAGCCGGTAGCCGGACAATTAGTCCACGCACCATTAATACGGCTATCGGGACAAATAGCAACTCCCCCCCCCCCACCCCCATTTCCCTGCATTATTACAGAGAAAAGATGTGTAACATCACAACTCGATGGTTGACATTACTATAATTGTTAATTATGTTGGTTTTTAGTGAATAAATTCCAATGCGGACATATTTTATTTATTTAAGTATTACAAGTTCATGATCACATAATTAATTAATTGACGACGTTTATAAAAAAAATAAGAAGACCCCCCCCCCCCCCCCCCCCATCCCCCCCAAAAAAAAAAACAAAACAAAACAAGACAAAAAAAAATTATTAAAAAAAAAAGAAAAGAAATAGAAAATAAACATGAAGAACAAGTTATAATAAAAATTATAATGAGTTGCAAATAAAAATAAAATGTTTACCTGAATTCCGATGACAGAAACGACGAGGAGTAGAACATATCGACACATGATTCTAGTTAAATGTAATTTGATTCTAACAACAATACGGTTTTATAGTACATGAAACAGATGGTTAGCAATAAAAAACTGACCTTACGTATGGTCAAGATTATCGCACCGATATATCGTGTGCTGTATTACATGTATCTCATGGTCGTCTATAACGTACATTTTGTAGCCTAGGGATCACAATCCTACATACACACGTCCATCACTTACGTGTAAGCCTCCAGATAGTTGATATCGAAAACGCTCACAATTAAATATAATGTAATATAAATTTAAGCATATTTTAATTAAGTTTCAAGTGGCTTATTTCGTATTCTATATTGCGAAATTCCAGAACATAATTCTGTTGAAAATATCTAATCAGTTCTGCTGTTAATTCTATTTGAAAAATAGTATAATACTGTAAAGGTTTAATTTGACTAGTTTATTTATTATCAAAATTATTATTATCAGTACAATGAATTGTTTTGTTATTGTATTATGATTTTAATTGTTTTTGTTATTACTTATACTATAATTATAATTTTCTTAAAGCAGCCTACTTTGGTTTCAATAATACTTTTTTACATATTTTTCATTTAATAAATATTGTACTCAAACTAAGGCTGTAACTCACACGAGTAAAGTTATAACTAGACTTTTAAGGCCTATAATTGCTTTGAATTCACAAACGTTCATGTATTTGGCTTCCAAAGGTTTTTTGTAGAAACTTTTGTCATGTTTACTGGGATATTTTCTAAGTGACGTTTGGTTAATATTTTTTTTTTTGAAGAGGGGGGGGTATATATTAGCAATTTTGTTCTTTTTGTGTGTGTTTATGATTTTTGCTTAACTTACATCTAATTCTTCATTTAAATTGTACTTATATATATTTTAATCAATTGAAAAGATAAGATTCAACGTGTATCTGGAGATTTTATAATGTTAAGGACTCTCTCACGACTATTGAATCAGGATATAAATAATACTCAAAGTAAAATAGTAATTGTCCTTATATTTACATTCACAATATCAAGGTTTATGTGTGCACTTTGAACAGTATGAACATATCATATCATATGGTTTATCGTTTGGTATGTTGTCTTTCCGATAACCTTTGTGGATACATTGGTAAACAGAAAACAATAGTCACTCTCTGTCACAACAATGGTGAAACATGAGGTTTTCATAGAAATAATAAAACATGTACCGGATTGTCTTTAAAATAAAAATATTGATAGCAAAGTAATGATTTAACGAAATAATGTTCCCTTTTTCACATTTGAGTAGAATAACTTGTTTCATGTATAACCCATGTTATTTAAGAGGTGCGATGATTCAGATTTATGATTTTGTATCGATCTTTCGTGGTGTATTTTGAACAGATCAATCCATGATAGTTCCGGGTGTCCTTAAAAAGAAACGTTTCACAAAATCATGTCGAGTGTGTTGTATTTATCAAAATAATCTTCAACAGGAATGTAAATAATTAAAAAGAAAAACGAATTTTATTGTTTAAAGGACTGTATGACCTTCAACAATGAACAAAACCCAATCCACACAGTAAGGTATAGGCACGAAAGACCCAGACATGCCAAATGGGAAACAAGTCAAAAGAAAACTCTAACGACCGGATGTATGCTAAAACAATAAACGAAAATCAAATATGACAGACAGCAACCAACGACAACTAATGGATTATACAGGCTCTTGATTTTAGATAGGCACATAATGAAAATATATGGTATATTTCACTTTGGTTTAGAAATAAAAGTTTAATGTCCAATGATGTTTTCCAAACATTTTTTAATTTACATGAAATTCATAGAGGGCGGGTGTCTTTTTGGGGAGCAAAAGTAAAACTGTATATCATATATTATACATGACTTGTCTTTTCTTTCAAATAAGACTTCAGAAAGACACAAAGGTAAGATGCAAGCACGAAATTGAATAATTTTTCAATCATTTTTAAAATAATGCGTAAAGAATAATGCATGTTTCAATAAAAGCTATCCTTTTATATGACCCACCTTAAAACGCGTTTGATTTCAGAATAGGTGTATATGTTTTCAAATTACTACAACAACAAATAATTGACTATATAGATTAGATAACATTTGTTCTTATAATACGCCAGGCACTGACCAGTCAGATGTCGTCCTGGTATGTCAGAGTACAGACATATTTCATTATCTTTATCTTGTGCCTCCTATTTAGCATTTTAAATTAAAATAAAAAAAAATAGAACGTCGGAATGAAAATAAGGAAATTATGGAAAGTATAGAAAATAGAGGTTATTGGGTATCCATCCATGATACAAAATCAGTAAATGCACAAAAATCAGAAAAAGGGTATGATTGCCAATTAGACAACAAAGGCCTAAATGCGAATAATTATACTATGAGTTTTGCTTACTGAAGGTCGTGCAGTGCTGTACTAGCTCACATCTTTGTGACTTTGTCTTATGTGGATAAATGTCTTATTGGCCATCATACCTCATCTCCTTATGCCACATCAAGTGGATTTGTAGTTCTCTCGATCGATTGCTCCAAAATTATGGAAATCAAAATATTTTTTAACGCCATTCCCTGAAGACTTTCTGAATTATCGCTCTATATTTAAATGTAATCGATCGTCCCACAATCCACAGATGATTACAATTTTTTGTTGTTGTGAAAAGTAATTTATCGCTCCTGACAACAGAAACTTGGTAGAATAAAATTAAAAATACGCCTTCTTCTTATCAAATTTCCGGTATCGCTTGCTAAAATATCCCTTTTTCGGGAAAAAAAATAAAAATCTCTCGCTCGCTCCTTTTTTGTACATCAAAGTCCGAAGAACAAAAGTTAGATTTGGAGTTGCCTTATTTTGTATCAAACAGTTTTTCTTCACATGTTTGGCCTTCCACTATCATCTAAGATTTAAAATGACAATAACAACCTTCCACAAGATCCTTATCATAATACATATATTTCGCGTTTTAGGAACACTTATAAACGCTTTATTTTGTGTTTTTATAATACAGGCATGACAGGCGATTTAATCCATGCCGTCTGTGTCGTTTCTTATATTCAATGTTTATATGCTAATTTTGCCTTATTGATCCGCGAGCGTAAATCAGAGCGTACATTTTCCTTAGTAAAACCATTTAATCAACAGGATGAAATAAAAACCAAATCAAATAAAAAGTTCCATTCAAGGTCAATGTACAAATAACATGTTCTGAAGAGCTTTTTAATCAACTACATAAAACAATACAATATATTTAATACAAACAATACCCACAGTACCCACAATACAAAGAAGATAAATATACACATATACAAAACCACACATACAAGTTGATATAAGAAACATCATAAGACAGCACGCAGTTGAACATATCAAGCAGCATATCATCACAAAGAGCATAAATATAAAGCATTGACATGAGCTGCAGTTCCACACAGAAATTAGTTTTATGAACAGTTCCAAATCTGCATCTAGTCTAAATAGTTTGGAAACTCATTTCATTTTTTAAAAGCATAATATTTTAATGAAACACGTAATTCTAATATCTCCGGTTGTTATATATCTACGCGTATAAATAAGTTTTTTTTTATTACTATTATTTCAACAACTTCTAATTATGTGACTGGTTTTAACAATATAAAAGATAGGTGACATGTTTTTAATTAAGAATACACATCATGAACATTGATTAGCGGAAAGATAATGCGAAGATCAAGTCATATATAATCGGACTGGTATTCATCTTTTATAGAAATATATCGTTTGTGAATGAAAGAATGAGAGATGGGGTATATTGAAATATTGACTTTAATTAAATTTCCATCATTTGGACAATAACCATAGTTAGTTCATGTACGTTTACCTTCAATTCTCAATGTATACGTAATATGGCATCGATCCTTATTTTACTTAATTTGAATAAAGATATTATTGTTTAAAGTTTGAATTTTTAAAGCCTTGATAATCCTTGCGTTTTTGTTTTACATCTGTTGTAAGATTGCCGCGCGGATAATAATCAAATGATAATTATTTGGAAAATGTACAAGTATATTTTTATTAGATTTTTATTTCGGACATGTTTATTTTATCAGATTTTAAACCGGGATCGTGAGACCTAGTAGTGCGTATTCAAATAATTAACACACCTGTTACGCTGCGTTCTCTGAATTTTTATTATATTACATGTAAGATGAGCCTAGAGCTACATTGTACATGGTAAAAATGTAGTCAAACAATCAATGAAAACGAACCAAAACACGAAATAGCTATTTTTTGTTCTGCAACGTCTTTCGTTCCATTATTTTTTTTCTCTCATAAATATGTTCTTAAATTTAATTAGTTATATAAATGAAAAATTCACCGAACAATATACACGGTTATCATATAGAATAAAATACGATACGAAATTAAAAAATAAAGAAAAAGAGAGCTCCAAGCCTAATATTTGTTTGACATTTTGTACATAAGATAACAGATACACTTGTCGGGTTTGTAAATTTAAGGAAAATTCAAATTTCTTGCGTAAAAAAGGGTTAAAAAGGGATATTTTACCTTCGTGTTACAGCAATGAGCATACAAATTATTACAAAAGGCTTGTATTACGTCTTACATACAAAAAGTGTAACAAACGACCCAAAATATGAGCTATTGCCATTAAATGGCTTACGCCGTCTGTCCATTCTATAGATTTTCACAATTTTCATCACTGCTGACACATCTGGACCAATACGAATAAAATAACTATCATGCTCAAATAGAGAGAAGACAATTAACTCACACAGGTAACTTTAAGTTACATTGGACACTTATTCGATTATAAAACATGATTGCTCTACAAGTAGGTGCTCTTACACAGGCAAAATTTGCTCACGTGAATTTGACATGAATCTCACATGAAATTCACCTGAAAAATTTCACGTAAGATTCACCTCAAACGAGCTTATACATGAAACTCGCGTGAAAATTTTCATGTGAATTTCACATGAATTGAGATTCACATAAATCTCACGTGAAATTTTTCACATGAATTTCACGTGAACTTTACTTAA